TGTTCTTGTCTCTTCTCAGATAGGGAGGCACTTTGAGAAGGGATGGGAGAAGTTGGTAAGGTTTGTTCTTGTCTCTTCTCAGATAGGGAGGCACTTTGAGAAGGGATGGGAGAAGTTGGTAAGGTTTGTTCTTGTCTCTTATTAGATAGGGAAGCACTTTGAGAAGGGATGGGAGAAGTTGATAAGGGTTGTTCTTGTCTCTTCTCAGATACGGAGGCACTTTGAGAAGGAATGGGAGAAGTTGGTAAGGTTTGTTCTTGTTCCCTTTCAGATGGAGAAGGGACGAGTGAAATCTGTGAGGATTGTTCTTGTTCATTACCAGCTGGATACGGCTGGGGTGCGTTTTGAGGAGATGTAGTAGAAGATAATGATGACTGCTCTTGTCCACCCCTAGAAGGCGATGACTGTAGCGCACTTGGAGAAGCGGAAGAAACCGAGGATGGTTGCTCATGTCTTGTCCTACGTGGAGACTGTTGCAATGCATTTTGCTGACTTTGCATAACTGCACGGCGGTGACGCTCTTCATAAATTTCAACAAGATGTTGAGTATATTGACGATGATACTCTATCCAAGCAGCAGTTTGTTGATTATTTGGATAATAATATTGAATCTGGGCAGCTTGTAATCGTGCAGCCTGAACTTGAGCAGCCGTCGTTTGAGCAGCTTGAATCTGGGCTTGGGCTTGGGCTCTAGCAACCTGGGCTTCTACTGTAGCCCTCGCTCTTGCCAATTGTGCTTGTGCTAACTGCTGTATTTGAAGTTGGGTGTTCTCTTCTTGATTAATCTGTTGTTGTTGATTCATCATTACTTGAGCTCGGTACATTTGTGTTAGTTGATTGTTATACGTTTGAAGATTAGCCGTTTCTGGTGTAGCATGTCCTGAGTGTGCGGGAGAGCTCCCTTTGTCAGTGTCGGTGAGGTCAATGGACTGAAGATGTTCAGCAGCCAAGTCTGCATCACTTCCGAGTGAACTAGAGATATCAGTATCTTCAGCATTAGGAATAAACTCATCATCATTTTCTTTTACTCGTTCCTTTTCCTTTTTTCGGCGTCTTTTGGCTGACGGCGATTGATCAACGTCTTGTTCATAATAATTGACCTATTCGAGTTTTGAGAAAACAAATCAGTCATAAAATAATGTGTAAATGATAATAATAATATTTTACGTAAGCGACATACCACTTTCGTTCTCTTTCTTTTTCCTCGTCCCTTCGGAGTGGACTCTTGAACAGTGGCATGAGCCAATCTCTCTTCCAACAATTTTTCCCAAATATCCTCACTCTGACCTTCTTGTTCATCATCTACATATTCGGTATAGTCTTTCTTATCTGTATCCCATATCCTAGCAAATGCAAGTCCGTTGAGATTCTTTGATTCCTCTTGGTCACTAATCTTCTTTACCAGATGACTGCGATCAAGCAGTTTGTCAATGTCTTTATCATCGTATTTCAACGGTGTTTCGTCTGCTTCATCTTTGAACAGAGCTTCAGCACCAAAACGGATTATGCTCTCGACATCATTCGCCCCAAGATTTTCTTCTTCCATTTTCTCGACTATCAAATGATCGAGGACTAATTTTCGTTTACCAATTTGGACTATGCGTTCTATCATTATGAATTGATAGCAGAAATATGTTAAAAACCTGCATATAAACTTTATAATAGAATATTAAACACAAGCTTACCTTCTGCTGACGCTCTGGTTACAAACCTAAATACAAGAACTTTCTATAGAATTTATCAATAATTTTAGTATTTCCTATGTTGTTCTGTACATAACATGTCCAAAAAGATAATGTAAACTAAGACCTTTTCTTGTCCTATTCTATACACGCGACTCAGTGCTTGCATATCCATATGAGGATTGTAGTCAGGGTCATATATAAAGACGGTATCTGCCGCGGCTATGACAGTATAAATAGTCAAAAGTTGTAGCAAAGGTGATTCAATTGTCATTTCACTCGGCTAATACCGACGCTTTTTACTTACTCAAGTTTAATCCAACACCTCCAGCCCGCGTTGTCAAGAGAAATACGAATTTATCTGAGCCTGGAGCTTGGAAATCGTCAATCATTTCCTGACGCTCGTCTCCGCTAGTATCACCGTCCTAAATATTCATAGAAGCCAATTTAATCTACCAACATTAATATATGGGTTCCACTTTACATTAATATTACGAGTCTTTCGGTTGCAACACAATACGTACAAGCCTGACGTATTCCCAGCCTTCTTTTATCAAAAAATCTTCGGCTACATCCAACATCATTTTGTACTGCGAAAATATTAATACTTTATGCCCATGTTCTTTTAACTTTGGAAGCATCTTCTGCAGTAGC